TATATATATATATATATATATATATATATATATATATATATATATATATATGTATTTATATAGCAATTTTCTTCTAAATAATTGAGCTTTTATAAAGTTTGTAATTTTTTATATTTTAAAATTCAAATTATTTATTTTTTTAAACATTATATAAAGCCTTTAATCATTCACCTAAAAAATATTCCAATGATATATTTTTGGAAAACACAAAACCCTGTATCTCAAATAGTTCTGAAGATAGAAGAAAAAAAAATCAAATCAAATAAATAAAGCAAAAATTACCATAAAACACCATAGCTTCTTCCCAAGCACCTTATCTTCTATATTTGTTGGCCCAAAAACCCAAATCCCCACAACAGTGGATCTTCCACTAATATTTTATGAGGATTTTTCAGGAAAAAAAGAAGCTATTTGGCAGCACTCTAAATACTTGAAATCTGTATGGATTAATTTACTGATAAGTTGCTTGCCATTACATTTAATGATAGGTATACAGATTAATTATTTTTTTTTTTTATGTTTTTAATTTATTTTGTTGGCTCATTGATCTCAATAGGTGGACTTATATCTTCACTACTCAAGAGTTTGCAACAGCAGGAATAATGGTAAGATCATCATTACATATTTCTGTAGAACAGTTTGATCAGCTTCTGTAGCAGTAGATGCAGGTTCAGCAGTAGAGACCACTTCATTGATACAACATCAGTAGTAGTAGTAGCAGTAGCAGTAGCAGCTGCCACTTCAATGTTCTTGGAATCATTATTGTTCATGATATGCTACTCTATCACTATGGTAGGTCTTGGAACTTCATGTCTTATAGCATCAGTTTCAAAGGCAACAAAAGCTAAAGAGGTGAACACAAATGAACTTTGGATGTCTTTTAAGTTTATTTGTGGACTCTCATGCACTTTGTGCAGGTTGCAGAAGCTAGTAAGCTAGGAAATCTCTCTATTCTGTTGAGGGAAATCTTTTCTTCTAATTTGTATAAATAGGAGAGGGAACAAGTAATTGTTCTTGTTCTTATGAGAAAAGTTAAGTTTCACTCTTTGTCGATCCAAGATTGGTATCCTGATAAGCACCATCTTGCGGGGGCATGATAGAAGATAATTTCCTTTCTCTTAATTTGTATAAATAGGAGAGATTTTTTATTTCTTCAATAAAGCTTCTTCAGTAATTGTTCTTATCTTCTATTCTTTCCATCACACATACAACTTGTGATAGGAAGGTGATGATGCTGACTCTTTACATTTATTTCACTTCTCATCGCTTCTTCTGCTACTAACAATTACAGCTTCAGATCAAGCATTATCGTTCATTTCTCAAGTCCAAATCTGGGTGGATTTTGTTCTTCCTTCATGGATGATCATTCTAACTTGTGGCTTCATTTGTATCTGGCAACTTACAGCAACTGTTGCCACCATGATATGTCAGGCTAATCCTCCTCTTTCCATTGGCAGCACATGGTGGAATGTTGAAATGGCGGCGGCGGCGGCGACGGCGACGGCACCGCAGAACCAGCAGCAGCCATGCAGGAGATGCAGCAGAAGAATCATAACTTTCAGATAATGTGTATAAAAATGGATCTCTTCACCAATTCTGATGAACAAAACGAAGCATGGCGGCTTTAAAGACGAAAGAGTTGGGAAGCTGCTTCTCGATTAAGATACCAAAGCAGATCGATGCAACGCATTAGATTAAACCTCATGCTGGCCCAGCAATCGTCCTTCAAATTTGGCCCCTTTAATCCCTCTATCTAAAGATGTCATTTCCCTCTCACTGCCTGCGTGGATGTTTGTCGTTAGCTCTTCTTTTTCGTAAAAGCAATCAGCAATATTATCATCGCCTCGACAAATGATCTCTGTGTCCCACAGCAGATTGTGTGCCTCTCTCTTCCTTTAATTGATTCTTCTTGTTCCTTCTCCCATGCACCGGTAAATTAATTCCAATGCCTGCAGAAGAAGCACAGAGAGGCCTCTACCAAGTGAATCAAGTCTCACCATGAAATCAGCATCAGAGGTCTGCATTTAGACAACGGCTTCTGAGAGTTACCTGAAAACCTTCTTTCTTCTTGTTGAGATTATTGATGCCGATGGTATTGTCTGCTGCATTAAGCATCATTTTTGTTGGGGCCATCAGCTTCAATTCTTCGAGAGTTACAGCCTTCTCTCTAACTGGATATGAGAAACAGAGACTTTGTCATCACCAATCTGCATGATCCTCCACTCAGCAATCCAAATCCTGCACTGAGCTTGTCGATTGTCTCCTTCCAAGTAATAATAATAATACCTCAGGAATACAGCTACTTGTAGTCCCCATTTCCAGAGGAGCCCTTCGACATCCCACCAACTCTGCTGCTGTTTTGCCATTGCTTGAGAACACGACAGGCCACCGGAGTCCCACCAGCAACACTTTCTTCCAAACCGGTCTTCTGTACCGTCTGCTGAATCTGACCCAATTAGGTCATACTCCCCCGCCACGTTTACACAAAATCACGGTTCGGTCCGGGAACCGGTCCGGTTCGTCTATTTCAAACCAAATCGGAATCGGTTCGGTTCTGTTCTGATTTTTATTTTAAACAAAATTAAAATCGGTGATTTCGATTCTAATTTTAAATTATTTAAATCTAATAAAAAAAATAAAAATTATAAATAGATGGGTTAAGGCAATAATATGCGACTGAAATTTTTTATAGTCTAGATTTTTAAGTGTAGTAGATTGGACGTAAAAGATCAGTAATTTATATTGAGAATTTTTCGATGAAATCAAAAGGAAATCTACTGATAGAAATAGAAAGTGTCAAAGCTATCATAAAAATTTTATAGAGATTTAGACAGAAAAAACAATTATGCGGCTGGAATTTTACGGTGCAGATTTTCAAGTATAACGGTTTAGACGTAAAAGATCAATGGTTTATATCGAGAATTTTTAATTAGAAAGTGTTAAAACTGTCATAAAAATTAATTATATATAATTTTTATATATTTTAAAATTTTTAATTAAAATAATAAACATTATCGAATCCGAATTATCAAAATCGATAATTCCAAAACTGAAACCGACGTTTACCGAACCGCGATAAGATTACCCAATAGATAGCGAATCACAGCTCAGAACACACTTAGATCCTTAACCTCAAGTGCCTGTCCTCCTTTTTCTGCATTATCTTTCGGAGAATGTGACACATGAAACATCCAATTCCTTTCTTGTCATCTATAATTCATGCAACCCTCACATGACATCACCTTTCCGCTTGGATTTCCACCAAGCAATCACAGTATGTGAAGAACAGAAGAAGATGAACACTTGGAAATCTGCTGAAGAGGAGGCATTAGCAACATCATCACACGGCCTTTCACTTATACTTGCAGTATAAGTTCTTACATTTAAGCAGTCTCATACATATACAGAGAGATTAAGGAGAGGATACCATGAACACTTCACATGATGTTGCACGCGTTGGGGTTCTCGTCGCTGAACATGTCGTCGTGCGGCGCAGGCTGCACCGGTGCCGGCAAGCTCGGGTCCATGGAGCCGTAGTAGAACTCCGGCGGCGGAGGGAACGGCATGTAGACGTAGCCGTGCGAGGCCGGCGGCGCGGGCGAGGCATAGTAGGCTTGGCTAGCGCTCGGTTGTGCCATGTTGTAGCTCATGACGTACGCCGGGTGCGAGTACGCGTGTCGCGGTGGTGATGAGTTGATGCTGCCGGCATCCGGATCCTTCCCTGCGTCCTCGGAGTTCTCTTTTTGTGCCTTGTGGCCTTTCTTCTTACCGACGCCTTTATCGCTGCTAATTTCGCCGGCGGCGGCGGAAGCCTTCTCGTCTACCGTGGCGGCCGGCTTCTCGGGCGTCTGGGCAGAGGTGTCGACCTTCGTTGCATCGGTCGTTTGGGGCTCGTTTACGTTGCTCTCCTCGGTTTTGGAATCGGGTTTTGCGGGCTCTGTCGGGGGTTTGGGTTTCGCTTCAGCTTCGGCAGGGGCGGCAGTAGAAGCAGAGCTACTCTCAGATGGGATCGACTTCTTCTCAGAGCTCTCTGCTGGCTCTTTGGATACAGAAGATTCTTTGTCCTCTTTCTTCTTGGTAGTTTCGCCATTGCCGGGGCTCTGATTTCCAGGCTTTTTCTCCGGCCACAGCGCAGCGTGCTTCCCGGACTTCCCCAGCCTCTTGATGAGCGTTTCGGCGTCCACCACGGTCTTGACTGTCACCTTGTGCTGCCGCGCATCGACCTCCACATCATAAACACCTGAAACGAAGAGCCCCAGACATAACTAATCTAGCAGAATGAAGCAGCCTAATAAAGAGCTTTGGATCTTCTTAGGCTACCTGGAATGCTTTTAAGGATTCTCTTCACCTTCCTCTTGCATCCTTCACAGTGGATGGAAACCTTCAACACCCAAGTCTGAAGCCACCATGGATTTCACTTAAGCATATCATGTTTTGAAAGCAAAAGAGAATGATATCATTCAGACAAACAGAGAAATTTAGTGTAGATTAGTAGTACCTTGTAATTGAGAGGTTCTGAAGGTTCCGCTGCCGATGCCATGGCAGAAACCTCAAGTGATGATGGATGGATGCAGAGAGTGGAAAGGTAATAGAGCCCAAGGAGGAACACTCGGAAGGGAGTTGGCAGATGTTTGTGATGGGAGATATATAGGCAGGCAATAGGAAAGGGGATGTGGAGTCTCATAGACAGGGATGAGAGAGAAAGATTGTGTTATGCTTAAGTGGCTTTGGGATGAGTTCTCTTTTGGTGGACACAGTCCAGCTATGAAGAGAGAGAGAGAGAGAGAGAGAGGTGTGGACTGTTGATAGAACGGTTGGTGAGTGGAAGAGAGGTATTTGAAGGATGATGATGAAGGCATTGGTTTGAGTACCTGTGGGTGATGTTGAGATGTGGATTGTCCACCCATCAGGACTATGAGGGGTCTGAAATGACATTTTCTTGAGATTTAAGGTTCTAAAAGCCACTTCAAGTTATGTGTTTCATCTTCTTAGGCATATTATGGATCCTAAATGAATTTTCTTCAATTAGTTTTGCAACTATCTAAGATCTCTCTAATGAGAATATAAATGAGCAGATTATGTCATAACTATCTATAAATGAGACAAGATCTATTCATTTATATTCTTAACAATCCCCAACTCATGAGAACCAATTCATCCACCATCTCTCCCTCTTCTCCTCTCCATTCTTATAATATAACACTGTAAATACAGTTAATTGATGAACACTATAAATAAAGTTAATTGATGTGACATAATCCAATTGTTTGAAGAATATAGTACAAATTTTCTTTACAATATTGGTTGGTGATCTATTTTCTTTACAATAATTGACAACATTTGTTCAATCAGGAGAAACATAAATGCTGCAAAAAGACACTTCATTATGAAGAAGAATATGACAAGGCACATAATTACCATACAATTGTTTCTAATCACAGACATATTGATGATTTCATTTCAAATCAGTCCTTGAAAAGAATGTTTAGCAAAAAAACCAAATATTAATGAGCAATAGCAACAGACAAAAGAATCTAATCAGTCCTCCTTCCCTATCCACAATGAAATAAGACTTCTAAGCATACAGGGACACTAACAAGAGCATGCATAGTGTGCTTTTAAGGACTCAGCCTTTTATATCCTAAATCTCCTCATGATTTATCTTGAATCAGATGGGCATGTGTTTAGCAAAAACCAGAAAACATTAATGAGTAATAGGCACTGATTACTCATTAGTGTCACAAGATTTTTTTTCCCCTGTCAAATGATACTACTGTACTGGATGACAAGTCAAGTCTTTGTGGCATCATTGCATGCCTTATATTTTCCAGGCTGTTTCAGACAGGGCTAAAACGTACTTTGAGATATAAGCCAGAGAATCTCCAGGCTTTCACTGTTCCACAACCAGTCCTTCACTCAGTGGGTGGTATCAGCCTTAACCTCAACAACTCTTTAACACCAAAAAGCAAGGAAAGAGCTTTTTCTCTTCCCTTACTGTAGCCAAAAGCCTTTTGATCTGCAGTAATTGCTCTGGCAAAAGCAAAAGAGAGTAGGAAAGGAAACAGCAAGAGCTGGGTGGATTTTTTCTTAGTTGCAGCTGAAAGAACACATTTTATGTATTTGGAGGTGGAATGTTCAATGTTCTGACATCAAAGCTGAACTGTTGAGTCTAATCATACTGGTACTCACTGGTAAATTGAAATTTTCCACTCATGTTAAGCACAGATGATCTCAGGACATAACTTGAGAATTGACTCCACTTATTTTGATGTGTCTGTGAGAGAGAGAGAGAGAGAAGGGGACTGGCAGCAGAAGAAGATGTTGAAGCAGTAGTGGTCCAGTGTCATGTATAGCTAATGCAAGTGTCCTGGGGGTTTGGAATTGTTACTCCATGGTTGATGTTGAAGTAGGCTTTTGAAGGAGAACTGAAAGGATATGAAGTGATGGCAAATGGAGCTCAACTTCACCTACTTCAAAAAATGGCATCAACTGGACTTCAGGAAAAAGAAGAAGACTGAAGTGATGACAAATGGAGCTCAACCTCGCCTACTTCAAAAAAGGACATCGACTGGACTCCAGCAAAAAGAAGAAAGCAAAACTATGTGATGCTGAAATGGCCCTTCAGTGATGCTCAACTTTACCTAGTTTCGGAAACCAAAAGAAACACAAAAAGCTACTATGCCACACACGATGGCACTCAACAAAAGTAATGTTGGTTGGATTCATGGAGATGGAGTTGCTTGACTCCCTCCAGTGTGTGCCTTCAAGTTCAACTCTTTACTGTGATTCCAAAAGACCAAATTCATTGCATGCTTTGAAAGGGACCAAGAAAGAGTAGTGACAGCAAGGTGATTAGATAGCAATTAAATGGGAGTTTTAAAGAGGATTTTTGACTGTTTGGCCTTCCAATCAAACAAATGATTCCAGTGACAATTATTCAGCATAAGAAGTTTTCTCCAGGCCTGTTCCTTTCTGACCATTGAAAAGGTGAACTCACACAATGAAAAGCTAAAGAGAACAAAGAAAAGTGAAGTGTGGTAGGGGAAGTAAGCATGTCTTATGTGTCAGAAAACAACAAGTTTGACCTTCCAAACAAATGGATGAATCCATATCCATGGTTATGAAACATTACTAGTTTTCTCCAGATGTCCAAAAAGATCAGTTCTTGTTGCCCAAGCCTGTTCCTTTAGCTGTCCAAAAGGGAAAGAACTCGCACAATGAAAAGCTAAAGAAGCAAAGTGAAAAAGAGAGGAATGGCAAGAATAATAAGCATACATGTCTCTTGGAACAAGCAGCACGGAAGAAAGTAAATGTGCGTAATTTTCACAAGCACCTTACCGGCATGGAAATGTCGACGAGACACGGTATCGTCTGCTGGCATCGACGTGGAAGTGATGTTACTCGTCGGTAGCCACCAACGAGAGCTCTCCGGCACGCATCTTTCCTTTTCGTGGAATGTGGGCGTCAAGGATCCACATCCCGAACACGTTAGCACCAGCACATCATTTGGACCTGCTTGTCTCACCGTGCATTCTCCTTGGAGAGGGACTTGACTTCCACAACAATCCAAATGGATGAGCTACATCACTGCTATTGAAGCACAATAATCCAAGTCTAGGAGAGTGCATCCTCACAAACAGTGGGCTTACTGTAAACAACAATCCAGTGAAATCTAATCCGGCATAAGTCGAAACACGAGATGGAAGCGGAGGGATAAGAACAAATGTGGTAGAATTATAACCCCAGAATATGATCTTAATTGAATTGAATTTGAATCACTCAGAGAGACAGAAGAGTCGGTGGGGAAGACGATCTAATAAAGCGACAATGCTGCACGTGTCAAGACGTAATTGGAGGCTAATTGAATAGGACAGGGATGATATGAGTGCCACGTGTTACCGCCGGAATAGTCCCTCGAAGTCCGACTCCCACCTCAGCTACCTGTATCCTGGCTGGCAGACTGCAGGGAGGCCCAAATGAGCTTCCGTGTGATTTTTCTTATAAAGCACAATTAATCGAATCGGATCAAACATAGATACTATAAATCAATCAAATCGGATCACACATAGATGCTATCGAGTCTCAGGTCATTCGATCGAACCATTGGATTTGTTGACTGATCATAAATTTGACCAAAAAATAAAATTAAATTAAAATATGATTTATGCGATCAAGAAATAGATATAAACCAATGTTCATGTGAAAATTCTTGAAAAAATAAGAGATCCAATTCGATCCACCGATCGAATTCTTGAAAAGCACACAAAAATCTTTCGACAAATGATTAAGAATAACAATAATAAATTATAAATATACAGAGGTAAAGCTATGTAAATTGACATTCAAATCCTCGCTGTACGAGAGTGAGGAAAATAAGACGGTTGCTGAATCTGCTAGCAGTTTGAACACCCAAAAACTTAGTAGCATAGTTTGGAAAGGGAATACTTCATGTCCATAAACATTTAGGCAAAGCTAAACAAAAAATGAAAAAGAACAAACAATTGAAAGTATTTGAGGAACAACATCATCTTGATCGGCAAACACGAGTATCGTTATCACAGTCTGGTATTAACATAAAGTTATTTACTAGAGGGAAACCAATTTATACACCAATGCTTTCTTATATATATATATACAGATTATTCCTTCTCACAACAAGAGAAAAGGAATTTAGCAACAAAAGTTAGAGAACCGAACCCTTCGAGGTAAGTTGTATATGCAGCTAAGAAGTTTCTGACTTTAAGAAATTGTAGCATTCCAATTGCGTCATCTCCCCACCTGCCACAGGATCGAACTGGCATCTAAAGAAACTGCAAGCACAACCCAAGGGATAACCAGATCAATAATTAAAAGGGTATAAATCAAAGGAAAACAAGAAAAACCCTGTGGATCCATCTATCGCTGCTTCTCTCTCCTCAGTGTTTTGCTATACAAAATGCATTCTGAAAGGTGGAAATAATCTCCAGACCAGCTGTAAGCTATATACATACATAAATACAAAATGTTTACGTGAAAAATTGAACCAACATACCTCCCATCCATACCAAGAATGACGACAGTATTCTTCTGGTGGCCAAATGCAACAATGTATTGTATATTTTCGTGCAATCGAAATTGTGCGACTGACCATTCAGAGTTGAAATATTTTGGCAGCACACCTGAAAACAAGGGAACAGATTCAGGGAACATAAAACATTTCACTAACTTTTGTGAAGCAGCATTAGTTGAAACAGTGCAAACTATAGCATTAAGCAACCAGAGTATTTTTTTCCTCGACTCCTCAAAGCACAACACCAGGTTCAATAGATCCAAATCAACACTAGTTATCCATTTTGGTATAAGTAGATCTTGTTATTTTCCAGCCAGGAGAGTTCCATAACAACACTCATACGAGTTATATACAATAGTTAAGAGCACTTAATCTGAAAGGTCGAGAGTGTCGAGGATTAGGTGCATCATAAAGGAGAGATCAGAACCCAGTATCTGAATGATCTAAATGGTACTCATCTATTATGCCAAATCCTAGGTAGATAGCACCTTGATAATGGTTATAACCCAACCAAATGGCAATATTTTACCACTTTGCTTAGCATTTCATCTTCATTCACCTGCCAGGCACTTATTTAGAGCTTAGCATTTCCCACCTCTGCATAACTGACAATCAAGAGAGCTAAGACTACCAGCAGCAGGCAATTATGGTTTGGCAGGTAATCTAGATTCAAGAACAAATTTGAAGAAAAAGTTGCAAATAATTATAAGAAGATGGCGGAAATGATAGCAAAACCAAACAGCAGGATGTGAAGTTACAGAATTTTCTGGGAGTCGACAAATCACTTGATGTAGATGTTGTTGACTACTAATGATTCGAACTCTTTAACTCATAAAAGGGATGTTAGCACAAAACTAATTAGACTAGTTTCTGGGCAAAGTGTGAGTGCTTGAAAAGTGCTAAAGCACTATAGAAGCAAGAGTAACATCTCACAGTGCTAGAGCACAAATTGCCATATGATTTTGGACCTAGGCTCAACAACTCAAAGGATGAAGAAATCCACTTGTCAATCCAGTGAGATAGAACCACATTTACCCGGATAACACTTGGGTTAGTTGCAACCATCAACCACTCAATTAGAGACTTCTGACATCTCAACTGAACACCACTAGATCTACCTTTAAAAGAGCAAGTTTGCCGTGAGTGGTACTGTACCTCTGCTCTAGGTTTCCAAATTTAGCTATGCACCAATATGTCCCATTATCATCCGCCTCCTACTGCTAACTTTTCATCTGTTTTATCTTTCTTTAGTGTCACATCCTAATCAAATGTCTCAAATGCAGTGGACTGCTCATAATGCCTTAGCTAAATCCAAATTATCCCACATGGTGTAGTTATTCATCCCAACATGTCTTTTTACTGAAACAACAACAACAAAACCATAAAGTCTCAACTATTTGAAGTCAACCTCATTTTAATAACACAGATACTCAATTACTTATTGTATCCATATCAGATATGTCTGACACAATATTTGCTGGATGTTCATAACATGTTGGGCATAAGATTGGATAGAAAAAACTTGGTGGCTACTTGGGGGACGTTCCAATGGGAAATTTATTTTTCTTGAATGTTGATATTTTATTACAGATAAAATGAATGTACAATAAGATAGGTTGTTTTCTGTCATTTATCTTAAGCATTAAATTATAATTAATGAAACTACAATGACAACCATTTAAGATAAGCTATTGCTACCTACTCTAAATTCTTAAAAAGTACTTTGTTTTAGAAAATAATTATGATAAATAAGTTGGGGATGCTAATTAATTACTCATTAAAACCCATCATGATATATGACTCCATATTCTAACATGGTAATATCATAAAATAATAAGCTTAACTAAATATATATCGCTTAATCCACACAATATCGCTTGTTATTTCAAGATATGACATATTCAAGTATCAGCATCTTTCATAACTCTTGTCCCGTTTTTGTTGTTTCCTCAAGATATGATGTCTCCAAGTATCAGCATGATTCATAACTCGTCTCTCTGAAATAAATAAAACTTTCATCTCTCTCTCCTCTTCTTTCTATTTCTCTTCCATCTCATCATATTGCAAGCCACTGGGCCAACAGTTTGGAACCATGCCACCAGGAGAAGCGAGAAAGTTGACAACTAGCTGAACCACGATTTATCACAGAAACCAATAAAAAAACATTAATGGTCAAGAAAATAAACGCTATTCAGGATCCTGGTGAAGAGCAAAGAACTTTCTTCGAACTAATATTTCTTTTATCAGTGATCAGTTCATCGGTCAGCATCTTGAGTTAAAATTTATTCATAAAGTAGTAGTTTTATGCAGTAACAAGGGTAGGCATGTGCTATTTAGAAGTGATTTAATCCATTCTAATGCAGCATAATAACTAATCTATAACAAGCAGAACTTGTGGTAATGGAATGAGTAGTTCAAACCAAGGTATGCAATTTC